CAGGTATGGTGACATTAATTAATGTAACGTCATTTTTTTTGAGGATTTCATTTTTAATTCTTCATCTATTACAGCCAAAAATCTGTCACTTTAAATAGTATGACAAAGTTGAATTTCCATATTAGAGAGTTAATAACACATACATTATAATTCTGACAACAGAGCTAATAATTTGCACCTAGATACATTATCATTTTCTGTTTTCATTGAAAAGACAAAGTAAGTATCTTAAGATGTGACAGTATAATATCTGAGGTAAAAAAGAGAGTTTTTTAGTTCACATTGTGAGAGATGTAAGAGGTTTTGTGTAGATGGACTACAAGCGACCAGCCACATAGGAAGGAAAAGATAGGTTAAGTACACTAACAAATTATTGTCCTTATGTGCAGATTCTCCAAAATGTCATCTTCTCATTTGGATACTAGATTCCCAGATAAAATAATTTCCTAAAAGCTGAAAACCTGCAGATGCTGTAAATCAGGAACAAAAACAGAAGTTGCCGGAAAAACTCAGCAGGTCTTGCAGCATCTGTGAAGAAAAATCAGAGTTAACATTTTGGGTCTGGTGATCCTTCCTCAGAACGCTCAGTTTTTTCAGCAACTTCTGTTTTTGAAAGCAATTTCCTACATTAATCTGTATCTGCTGTGGTCTGCTGTGTCTGACCTTTACCTGCAAGGATTAAGGAATATGGGACGTGAGTCATGTGCACAGTTCAATAGCTATGGAATACAGGAAATAGGAGCAGGGGTAGGCCATATGCCCCATCAAGCCTGCCCCACCATTCAACATGAGCGTGGGTGATCTGCATCAGGCCTCAACACCTCTTTTGTGCTAGGTCAGCACAGCCGTCAACTCCCAGATATCTGTCTGCCTTCTCTTTAAATACTCTCAGTGACCTAACATTCACAACCCTCTGGGTATAGAATTCCAGACATTCACTACTGTCAGGGAGATGAAGTTCTTTACATGTAAATTTTAAATAAGTGTCTCCTTTTTTTATTCATTCATGGGATATGGGTGTCACCGAATAGGCCAGCATATTATTGCCCATCTCTAGTTACCCAGAAGGTAGTTAAGAATCAACTGCATTGCTGTTGATCTGGAGTCACATGTAGGCCAGATTAGATAAAAATGGCAGAGATAGCTAGAACTGCAGATGCTAGAGTCAGAGGTAACACAGTGTGGAGCTGGAAGAACACAGCAGGTCAGGCAGCATCAGAGGAGCAGCAAAATTGATGTTTTGGGTCAGGACCCTTCTTCAGAAATGGGGAGAAGGAAGGGAGCTCAGAAAGCCTACAGACAGGAGCCTATGCCCGATAACCTAAACATGGAATTCACCAGTTTTAAAATCTCCCCACCCCGGCCTCATCCCACGTACAACCCTCCCTGTCATTCCCACCTCTTTGACCTGACACAACCTGTCCATCTGTCCCACTCACCTCACTGACCAATCCCCACTACTCCCTACCTGCACTCACCTATCACTATCCCATCTACCTTGCCCAGCCCCACCCCTCCACTCTCCATTTATTTCTGAGCTCCCTTCCCCCTCCCCATTTCTGAAGAAGGGTCCCGACCTGAAACATTAACTTTCCTGCTCCTCTGATGCTGCCTGGCCTGTTGTGTTCTTCCAGCTCCAAACTGTGTTATCTCTATACAAAGATGGCAATTTCGTTCCCTAAATGGCATTAGTAAACCAGATTGGTTTTTCCCAACAATCAACAGTGGTTTCATGGTCACCATTAGACTCTTAATTCCAGATTTGTATTGAGTTCAAATTCCACCATCTGCCACAACAAGATTCTAATCCAGGATCCCAGAACTTCACCTTAGTTTCTGCAGAAAGAGAGATAGTAGTGGGGAACAAGGAAGTGCCTGAGGAACTGAATAAATACTTTGCGTCAGTCTTCATGGTGGAAGAACATGAGTAATATCCCAAAAATTCAAGAGATTCAGGGGGCAGAGCTGAGTATGGTGGCCATCACCAAGGAAAAGGTGGTAGCAAAACTGAATGGCCTGAAGGTGGACAAATCACCTGGACCAGATGGACTACATCCCAGAGTTCTAAAGGAGATAGCTGAAGAGATAGTGGAAGCGTTAGTGATGATCTTTCAGGAATCGCTAGAGTCAAGGAGGGTCCCAGAGGACTGGAAAATCGCTAACATGACATCCCTGTTTAAAAAGGGAGTAGGGCAAAAGATGGAAAATTACAGGCCGATTAGCGTAACCTCGGTCATGGGCAAGATTTTGGAGTCCATTGTAAAGGATGAGATTTCTGAATATTTGGAAGTGTATAGTAAAATAGGGCAAAGTCAGCACGGTTTCATCAAGGGGAGGTCATGCCTGACAAATCTGCTAGAATTCTTTGAGGAAGTAACGAGCAGTGTAGACCAAGGAGAACCAATGGATGTTATCTACCTGTACTTCAAGAAAGCCTTTGAAAAGGTGCCACACAGGAGGCTGCTGAGTAAGATAAGGGCCCACGGTTTGAGAGGCAAGGTGCTAGCATGGATAGAAGATTGGCTGTCTGGCAGAAAGCAGAGAGTGGGGATAAAAGGGTCTTTCTCAGGATGGCAGCCGGTGACAAGTGGTGTTCCACAAGGGTCGGTGCTGGGACCACAACTTTTCACTTTGTACATTAATGATCTCGATGAAGCAACTGTGGGCATTCTGGCTAAGTTTGCAGACGATACAAAGATGGGTGGAGGGACAGGTAGTATTGAGGAGGTGGCGAGGCTGCAGAGGACTTGGACAGGTTAGGAGAGTGGGCAAAGAAGTGGCAAATGGAGTACAACGTGGGAATGTGTGAGGTCATGCGCTTTGGTAAGAAGAACAAAAGCATGGACTATTTTCTAAATCATAGAATCCCTACAGTGTGGAAACAAGCCCTTTGGCCCAACAAGTCCACACTGACCCTCAGAGCATCCCACCCAGACCCATCCCCCTTTAACCCCTCCTAATCTAGGCATCCCTTGAACACTACAGGCAATTCAGCATGGCCAATCCACCTAACCTGCACATCTTTGGACTGCCGGAGGAAACCCACGCAGACATGGGGAGAAGGTGCAAACTCCACACGGACAGTAGCCCGAGGGTGGAAACAAACCTGGGTCCCTGGCGCTGTGAGGCAGCAGTGCTAACCACTGAGCCACCGTGCCGCCCCAGAAGTCTGAAGTCCAAAGAGACTTGGGAGTTCTAGTCCAGGATTCTCTCAAGGTAAACTTGCAGGTTGAATCAATAGTCAGGAAGGCAAATGCAATGTTGGCATTTATTTCGAGAGGACTTGAATGTAAAAGGAGGGATGTATTACTGAGGAACAAAAACAAAGTTGCTGGAAAAGCTCAGCAGGTCTGGCAGCATCTGTGGAGGAGAA